TGGCTCTTGGTAGTGTCTATCGGGTATTCCAAGAGAGGGTGGGCGTTCGTGGCGTACCTCTCACCTCCGGCGGTCGGACGAATGAGATCAAGGTTTCTGGTTATGCCGACGACACGGCAGTATACCTGCGAGATCGGGCAGCGGTGAAGCTTGTTGTTTCCATTCTGGAAGAATTCGCAAGGGTTTCAGGTCTTGAGACGAATCGAGCTAAGTCTATGGTTATCGAGCTAGATCCTCGCGGTTCAGCCTTGCCTCTCGACACCCACGGCCTCACTCTTCTAGCCTCCAGCGAGTCATGCCGATACCTTGGTGTTCTGGTAGGGCAACAGGACGCAGTGGACGAGAATTGGGCGAAATGTATACGATCCTTATGGTGTCGGCTCGTTCTGGCCAGAGAGAAGACTCACACATTCGAGCAGCGGACCCGCCTCGCCGGTGCCATTGCGGTTCCCAGAATCACCTATCTAGTATGTCATTGTTGGCCTCCTCCTACCATTGTCACCCTATTGCATGGATTGGTCATGGACTTTGTAAGGGGTATACGAGATGGCAAATGATCCCGACCTTGGGTGCCCGCCTAGATGGCTGTATTACCGATATATCAAGGTGGTCTTGCGGTACCGTGTATTCGAACAGAACTGCTGACAATGGCGGCGACAGCGGTTGGGCAGTGGAAAGCTACGGTTTCCACGAGGGTTTTGCTGGTCGGATATGCCCTGTGGGGTTCTTTCGGGTCAGGCTCGGCTTACATCACGCTGTGTTGGGCCGAAAACACGTATCCCAGATTGAGGCCGTCCCTCTAGTTGATTGGTTCTGAAATTGTTGGTCTCTCCGCAGCTCGACATGCCCGCCTAGGCGAAGTCAAGGAACTCTGCCGTCGGGCCAAAATGTTTAGGTCGACAGCCGAGGTCGACTATAATGACGACGGAGGCGTCTCAATTGATGTCCGACGAGCGCTTGATGATAAGATGCGGGCTGGAACGAAGGTCGAATTAGCAGCATCGGGTCGATTTGACACCAGATGTCTTGTCCACGCTACAATGAAAGATATGTCGTGGCTGCGAGATCATAAGGGCAAGCCCTACCAGTTGAAAGGTGTTGCATTTGCGACAGAGCAGACCTACGTGGGCGACACACTGTCATGGAGCACGGTTCAAAGTGGGGCTGTACGATTCTCACACTTGCGAGATGCGGCTACCCAATCGATGGCGAAACGACGACACTTTGGATCCTTCTGTCTAGCCCTTCTCTACAACTTCCCTTCGCTCGTGTATCGGGCTATTGAGCCACGGGCCTTACTTGCGTACTCGTCGAAGATCCATCGTCATCATGACTGGCTACTAAATTGGGATGGTACATCGCTATCCCACTTCGACACGGTCATGTCTTGCGGAGCGATTCCCGTCTCATCGATGTTGTCGTGCGATAGCGCTGCCTCCTTCAACAGTGGATCTCTTGTCCACTTTGGCGCACATCCCGTGCTCACGCGGGTCGTGCAGCTTTGGGCTGGCTCACGACGATGGCTTCCGCAACGCAAACAGCTCAAGTATATCATTTCCCGGCGGCTGCGTCAGGAAGGGAGCCGACTGCGCGACAAGCGTGTAACGAAGCCGGACTTTCGAGTGACTTCAACAGGTACTGAATTGATCTAGTGGAGAGATCTCCGACGGATAAGGGCGACCTTTCCATCCGGTGCCCGGACGCTGTATAGACTCAAAAGCAATAGTTTTCCGCTTTGGAATCGTGCGGCTCAAGACCTGTCGTGCCCCGTACCTGAGTTTTTACTCACCCTCCCTGTGATGGCAAGTCACGTCTTCTGGAACTGCCCTAGTGCCTTCCGACATTGGCATCATCTACTATCTTGGTGGAGACGTCTCGGCGACATTTAGGAGGATGACCTTCAAGTCTGGGTATTTGGAATGGACTTGCCGTGTCTTCCAAGCGCGGCATGGAACGCTATTAAGGATGTTCTCCACCCGGACGACGATCTGTAGGGTACGAAGGGTGCGGTCTTTACAGCAGCTCGCGAGCTTTGGCGTTTTGTCGTTTCTACGACGCTACATGCCATTTGGATCGAGCGTCTCCGCCGCATGGAGGACTCAACTCTACCACAGGAGGTACACACCGCCAGGGCTCAAACCCATTTCCGCCGATCGGTCGCTCGTTTTTGCGGGTCCACGTTCCAGCCAGATGTGGGAGCGGATGGCCGACTCCTTGCACGGGTGCGGTCGGCCCTTGCTGACTCTCTCCTATGCTACGATGACCCCCCTCATTGCGAGCGTTGCCGAGCAACAACGACTTAGGCGTTCTTTACCTTTTGTTCTTCGACGGTGGATCGCGCGGAAATCCCGGACCGGGTGCGGCTGGATCCGTCAACGCCAAATTGCACGTTCCGACGCACGCCGTATGCATCATGTGGGTGGCGAGCATGTCCTACAGCTCTACTCATACTACCAACAATGTGGCGGAATACCGGGGGCTAGTGAACGGTCTCCGCCAAGCGAAGGCTAGCGGACACTCATCTTTGCATGTCGTTGGGGACAGCGCACTCGTGCTATCACAACTTCGTACCCATCACTCCCCTCGCAAGCCACACCTGAAATTGCCTTTTCGGGAAGCACGGGCTTTAGCAGACGATATTGACGTCACCAGCTGGGGCCATCACTACCGCGACTACAACAGGATGGCGGATCGACTGGCCAATCTCGCTATGGACTCATGTGCCTCCGTTCAAGTGCACACTACCTTGGGGCGCCGTGTCGTCTCAGAGGCCGCGGCCTTCCTCGACAATGATGTTAATCACTGGCTGGAGGTTTCCCTAGCCGAACATACCGAACTACAGGGCCCCGCACTGACCGCGAGGGGGATGGTAATCTCGCGGCAACACCATGCGCAACGTCGTGTGGCGGTCCGAGGTCTAGTTCTAACCTAGTATATAAAGTAGTGGTCTCACACGGTGACTTTGTTACCTGACGACAGGATATAGCGGGTCGATCGCGTACCTCACTATACCTCATCTTCTCACTCGCTCATTTTAATATTTTGCAAAAAAGTCCATTGTTTTGGACAAGATGACTTCGTTTGTTCTAAACACGAAAATGGTGTGAGCAGCTTGGAAAAGGAAAACTTATTACGTTTTTCCATTTACAGTGCATCGGTAAGAGAACATGTATCACGTAGAAACTGGAAGTACAAACCGTTGAACAATCGTACACAAACAAGATGGCAAATGTCTCCCATCTTTGTGATCGCAAATAGTAAAAGCTTCTAACGCTCTATTCTTCGGAGCTGGGCGAAAGAACAACGGAGGCTCGCAATGTCATCTTTGAGGCTACAAACGACATACGACGCTTCATCGTGCCAATCACATTCCACGCCATTTGACTACTTCGGCTACAGCGGAAGGAGGACTTGACAGTGTCAGGTGAAAGCCAAAATGCGATCGCCTAAGCTAGTGTGGCGATGAGCGATCTTTTGCTTGCTTAATAACGCAGTGATGACTTCACAGAATCTATCTGGCAGAAATGTGCTCAATATTACGAGACAATCTATTGTGACACTTGAGCCGTCGAGTCTGCGCTCGCTGGCCTTGTAGCATTCTCAACTGAAGCGACCACGTTCGAGCGATTCCGTCACGAAGATCTCCAGGCACCTCGGACCTAGAAAGTTCCACCTCTATCGCAATGCGAGCGCAGCTACGGGCATACATGCGACTTGGATCGTATCGACGGCCATCACGGCATGTGGGCCCGCAACGATGACGAGCTTTGCCAAATAGTTAGGCCTCGTTCACGTTCGATTCCGGGGCGAAGAGCAGCGGTATCACGACGCCGTGCGTAATTGTAGTATTGCAATGCTGCTTACCAACTCTGTCTCTGTGCTTCTCACCCGTAAGCTGCAACCCACGACACTGTATCTTCAATCGCGGGCACCTGACGACGCGGCTGTCCCTGTTGTGAGCTGAACTCAGTGTTGGAAGTGATACTTCGCATCTAGCTGGATGTCAGATGTACGCCGGTAAAGTCCGCCAGGTAGTGCGTCTTTAGTCTGTGGATGTTGTCGTTCTACAACGTTCAGTGCATAGGCACCGTGTGGCACCAAGCGGCATAAGCCACAGTACGGAGAGAGTTCGCTTCGCGCTCGGTAAGCTACAGAGGAAGCCCGCGGCTGCAGGCCAACACGCGTCTGGCACGCGTCCGTACGTAAACTAAATCTGTCATGCAATCTTTGTTTCCTATACTCACCACTACCGAGAATCCAAGATGATGACACCCACACCTGCGTCAAACGTAATGATCGATACCAAACAATTGCTTCGAGTCACGCGCTAGCCTACCGGGACATCGATGGATAGCTTGACGATAACAGTGCCAAGATGCCAGTCCTTAGCTCGGGACCTCGATCGCCGTTGGCAAGGTACAGAACACCCAATGCTCGTAAATCACGCGAGAATGGGCATTGGCGAAGCGCCAAGCAAATTGGCGGAGAGAGCTGCTGCTCACGCACTCGCACTGTAATCTGTACTGAGCAGCTGCTCCAGATAGCTAGATTGTTCGGGCTGGGCAGAGGACACCCCGTCGATATTGCTCTCCAATATATCTCACATTTAACAGTAAAAACACGTTGCCACTGGGTCTCAGGAGAAGCTAGGAATGTGAGCTAACAAGTTTGTATTGTCGTTGTTGCTGTGGACATGGGCAGTAATCGAAAGACGACCGCGACGTCTATGTCGCAGCAACAACGGTGAAAAGGAGCTTCTGGGCTTCATTATTGTTCGAGAGGAAATGCAAATTACTGCTTGGAATCTATGCTGGCATGGTTTGTGGTACGGTCAGCTGTCTAGCCTGTACTTTCACCCACAAGCTTGACTTTGTTCATGTATTGCAGGCGGTCAATATACTGTCACTTTGCTCATTCGTTTCCTCGACGTGCTACAAACGGCATTCATCAGTAGAAAAGAGCAAGAAACACAAAGCGTAGCCACCCTTGTCGACTCTCTATTACAGGTACAGAGATACATCAGGACCTCGTCCGAAAAGCTGGTTCCAAGAGGGTGGGAAAGCAAACGGAAGCGCTGGTGGCATCAAATCAGACACCGCGTCAGGGTCAGTAGTCAAATGCTTTTGCCCTAGTCGCAGAGAGCGAAAAAGATGTGTGGCCATGGCAGCAGCGTCCAAGACGTTGTTTCCTTCGGCACATGGCATCACCCACGCAACACACGGCAACTGCAGTTCCTCGCACTTTGCATGCAAGAGCGGAGCAAGGCCAGCACCGCGGATCTGCTCCCATCGCTCGACAGATGACGATGGCGCTTGGGCTGCTTCGTGGACGCTTTCAGTCTCTGTAGTGAGTCCCTCGAAACGAGTCAAAATAGATTCGTCGAGCTGAGCAGCATTCGCAGAGTAGATGGTACGGATCGGACGACTGCAAGCACAAGAAGTCGCGTTAGCGACAGCATGATTACGTCTGCGAAAGAAGAACGATAAGCACGGTGCCCGACCTCATCATGTTGACGTCATGACGAAGCATGTCATCGCATCCAGCCAAAACGCCAAGCGTCGCCGCCTTGCTTGAGATCGCCCACTCGACCAGCTCTTGGACGAACGTGTGAGCTTTCCCCTGGCCTCAATCGTACAAGTTTTCAGTCTTTTGTGAACTCTCTGACGCTAACAGCTACAAGTTGGCGGCGAATCGCTTACCGGCAAGACAGGAGCTCGCTGCTGGATGACCGTCAGCTTCTTCTCTTTGCTCTGATACACTGCCACGATCGAGCAATGTCAGATCCTTTCGAGCGCCATTACTGATCGATTTCATCCTCTCTTTCTTTCGGCCGTGCACTATATTGCACAGCGACACACCTGCTAGATTGAGACATAGAGCGTGCGGCTGCTGCGTGGCAAAGGCAGCGCCGCCAGCAATAGGGGGAGCCGACTTGCTGAGCAAATGGCCGACACACTTGAGCTCCACGTCCTGCGTTTCCACGTCCAGTTTCAAGAGTATCATCCGGTCAGTTGTGAGGCTTCCTCTTCCCTTAACCAGAACTGAGCAATTGCGGCAGCTATGTAGACCGTACAAATGTGTTTCCATTCGACAGCAACGTGTTGATCAACAGATCGATCGTCAGTTGGCCCAAGTTGGCGTTCGAAACTGCCGGCTACAGATGGGGAACAGTAAAGAAGAGAGAGAGAGAAATACACACAGTGGGTTGTCACATGAGTGCAAAGCAAAGACTGAAGAGTCACAGCTACACCTGACGAGCAACGAGGAGAATGGTGCTGGCTCAACAAGCGATCGAGAATGTACGTACCACTAGCACCGTGTGGTCGACGAAAAGCGCAGCGCAAGCAGCAGAGTCGGCGGCATTGGCTCCGTCTTGAGGGTAGAACTCCATTCGATAGTGCGAGCTGCTAACTTTGTGGATGTGTGGATGTGCGTATACAGTGGACAAGCAGAGGTGTATAGTGCCAATTGACTGCTTTTTACATCCAGCAAAACGCAAACGCGTGATTTCTTTGCTTTTTATCGCAAGCTGTGGTGACTTCTACGTGTTTGCATCGACGCGCATTTGTCGGAGGCTTATCGCGCAGAAAAGCACTGTAAAAACACCTTTTTTTGGCTTCGCTTGCAGCGTTTATCTGCTGCTGTTCCAATATAGTCCGAGAAATGACTCTGCAAAACACTCAGCGCATATTGGGACCCACCCGAACGAGAGCCGAAAATGGTGTACGACAGGCACAGACTCGGAGTGGAAATCACAACGAACGACAGCAAACCACTGCTGACCCGTTATTCGTTGTCGCGCTTTTCAGAGCGGTCGACATGTCTCTGCACTTGACGTACACAGATCCGTGTGTTACTCCGTTGAATACTAACTCGTGTCCACGTGCTCTTTCGAGCTGTACCTTCAAGAACGTCTACTGTTCCTGCTGGACGCTTTTACTCGATCCCGTGGACTTTGAGACGAATGCTCGCAATGTGTCGACCATTCGTGCTGAGGTCGTGGCAATGTAGCAGCACTCTGCGACTAGTCGAAGCGCCATCATCTGCGTAATTACCTCGTCGCCATCGAGAAGGTGAAGCAGCCAAGTCCTGCCGTGAGATTGTGGACAGCAATGCCGTCATCCGGTAGAGAAAAGATGTGGCCTCTTCGCAACACAAAGGTGGCGAAAACTTCCCTGCGGTTGTTGACTCGAAATGGGTCCCGAGTTCGACAATGACTCGGCATTTAGATTCACTGCTTGACTCTGACTGTCGCTTCCAAAAAAGTGTCGGAGGTCGAGCCGTTGAGGTGGTAGGGTGGTGACACCAGCGAGTCCTGTTCACGTACGCTGGGTCCAAGCAAATGCCGACACGGAAGTCTCAGGTTCTCGGAAGTGACGACGAGCCTTTTACTGCCATACGTCTTCAGTATCAACTCGCCATCCGAGCAACAGGAACGGCGAGCAGGCGCACATCTACATGCACCTCTTTATATCGTGCCCGTGTACAACACATGCATGCCATCGTTCACATGGCTTCCATCGGCACCGATTCGACTGTCCACACTGAGCCGTGATCATCCTCGAACTTCCGCACGAGCTGTTCTTGCAGACTGAAGCCCGCGCGACGCATCATCTGCGGCAAAATGGCAGGCAGACTCTGCGTATGGACAGAAAGCACACTCGGCATAGCTCGGCTTAGGCGTAAAGTCACCGCGACGTAGACCCGACGCAACCTCAACAATCGCATCTTCGGCTTCCTGCGCTGCTTTCTCCGAGAAGAGCACGAATCCGTCATCATAGGTCCCTGCTTTGCCATCTCCCACTTTTCTGCTCCTGGAAGTGATGCTGCTTGGCTGACCGCCGATCTGTTGCAGCTTGGCGCCATACGGTGCCTCACCAAAAACTTTGCTGAAAGCGTACATGTACATCTTGAGCTGCAAGCTCTCGTCCGCCAATTTGCTCATATTGCGTCCGGTGCCACTCATGTTGGACTTGAACTCCTTCACGACGCACACGGACGATCCGTCATCATCTGGATTCGAAACACGATCGATGCGGTCCCACACACCTCGCAGGTCCACACTGGCTTTGGGAACATAGAAAGAGAACGCCTGCTCTACGTGGAGAATCTCCTCCAATTGTGTGTCGCTGTCGTGCGTTTCAATGAAGTCCCGTAATGCCATCACACCTCGATCGAAAAGGAACAAAGATTGCTCGTTCGAGCTGAAAAGCCCGTGCCCGTCACCTGGCCATGATTGCAGGAAAGCCTTTTCAGCTTCAACAGCAGCAAGCGTCTTCACTTCATGCAGATCCTTGCCGTTCGTCTGCGAAACAGCTAGCGATTTGGCGAAAGCAGCTACGCCTTCGTGTAGCGCGCGCCCGAACATCATCGGAGTAGTTACGTCCCCACTCAGCTTCATTACGCGGCCCAAATAGTACCGATGTGGGCACCGCATGTATTCAGCGATTTGCGAATACGATAGGTGCGATGGGTCGTATGATTCGCTCGGTGCTAATTGCGATGAGAGACGACGACTGTCCGTGCTTGGACTACGCGCAAACCCTTCCAAGTCCAGATTTGACCTCAACGTCTTTGACTGCCGCACGTGCGTTGTATCTTTGTTAGGGTGACACCCATTTAGTTCATCATCGCCACTCGTCGTTCTTGGACAATTGTCGACAGCAGACTCTAGCAAACCACGGGGTATGATTGGAAAGAGCACGCGAGCCACGAAGTCGCGCAAGAGTCCCACCACGTCTGACATCCAATAGCTGGACGTCCCGCGTCGTCCAGCACTTGCGTTCACTGTAGGAACGGATTCGATTGGTGTCAACGACTCCGGTGATGGGCTAGTCGGTGGCGATGTAGCACCGGTTGCACCAGCACTTCCATTGCTATCGCTGCCACGATAGACTAGTGCAGCTGGTTGATCTCCTTCATGCCAGATCGGTTGGAAAGTGCGGCTTACGACCTCGCGCTTAGATACCGAGGTGTCGGCAAGCTCAGCAAAAGACAGCACCACTTCGTCATAAGCGCGAAGAGTCAAGGCTTCGTATGCGAGCAGTTTGCACTGCTCCAGATGCTCGGCACGTGTTTGCACCGGAAACGGTTCGCTCAGCAGACCATACGGGAGTGGCAGCGTGAGACGTTTCATCCGCCCAGGAAACTTGCTATCGCGCATCGACATCAGCACTAGCACATGCTTGCGGCTCTCCTCCTCATCGCTTTGCGAAGAAGCGTAAGACTGTAGCGCATATGCTGTCAGTGGAATTACGCGAATACGAGCATCCTTCGAAAGTGTCTCCACACCGGCGTCTGCTGAACCTGTCTTTGAAGCGGACGAAGTTAGGTTGGCCTTCCGTAGTTGCTGCAAGTATGGCACCACAAACGGTATTTGATCACTCATCGCAACCTTTTGTGCAGTCTCAAGTTCTCTTAAGAAATCGGCCAGCACCAACGACTCGCGCTCCTCGTCCACAGAATTCGGAGTCAGTAGCGTGTCCAGTCGACCTGTAGCTTCCAAGAATATTTGGACAATCTCAACCGCAGGAAGCTGATGACACTTCGTACGAAGATGCATGACAATGTTCACAAACGACTCAGCAATCTCCAAGCCGGTCTTGCACTGACAAGATACTGCTTTGGGCAGCTCCTTTTCTCGTCCTTTCACGGTCGTGACAAGTGACTTGCCCTGAGTTTCTACAAAAGCTTCAAGAACTGAAAACAAATCAACGTGACTCTGGTGCTCCTGCTGCATCAACCACGAAAGGAGCTCTGCCGGAAAAGCAAAGTAGCTGGAGCGCAAAACGTTGTAAAGATGGCGCGAGTCGCTCGGGAAGCACAACGCACAAAGCAACGAGTATACCGCGTTCACACCGGGCTCGTCGAACAGGTGGACGGGTGGGCCAGTGGAGGTACTTGCTACTGCGCTCGGATCGCCATCAATTCGAGCTACTAGCCCCTGCTTCTGAAATGCCAACATGATTCGACGTGCATCTGCGTGCGTCGGACATAACACCGTGGCATCCGTAGACTCCAGTTTTCGTGCAAGAAGTGCACCGATAGTCCTCACCTCCGTCTCAGCAGTACTAAAGCGCCAGCACTTGAACGGAACCGGCGAATGTGTGCCGCAACTAGCGCTAGCACGTTTCGTCAGAAGCTGCCGCGCGAACATTTGCATCTGTGCTCTCTTCTCCACAAACTCGTTGTCTGCCTCCATCTCGATACGAGTTACCGCACGTTCGTCACCCATATCTGCTGCCGCACGCACCAACTGTCTCTCCAGAATCTGTGTCCGCGAGCACTCATTCCCTTCGAGCAGCACTCGACTAAAGCTGGAACTTGACTGAATACTCGGCTGACCGCACAGGTGCCCCACAAGCGTCGCCATGGCCGGTGTCATTCTCTGTACATCGTCCACCACCACGTCCGTGTATTCTCGCAACACCGTCCGAACAAACTCTTTCGCTAGCGCATCCTCCACTGCAGCGTCTCCTTTCTGCACGCCACACACGGTCAGCATCTCCAACACGAGTCCATCCCAAGACGTGGCGCTATGCTGTAAAAGCAGTTCGTGGTACTTCCGGTACGTCTCAGCCAGCTCCTGAGCAAGCACTTGATCGCTTTCTGCAGCTGTAGATGCCAATGAAGTGTACTGCTCTGCTGAGACTCCGTGTTTTTCCAGCAGCTGAAAGAGCTGCAGCAAATCTTGTGCGCCTTTGCGTCTCTGAAGCGTCGATGCAGCATTTAATCGGGACGCACCAGGCAGTAGCACCAGATTGTGGTGTAGTAGCAGCGCCATCAACTGGGCACGGCCAAAGACGCGACGATCGCGGCCGCTTTCACGTAGAAGCAGCTGGCAGAACTCGCCAACGCCAAAGGCGCCGTGGCCACGTCGCTCCAGCTCAAACGCGGGCAGCGCACGCTCCAGCGCTATGCGGGCAAAAGAGTCAAAGGATGAGCTTCCTGTCAGAAGCAACACGCGCCGATGTGGCTGCTCCAGGAGCCAGTGAATGCGCTTCAAAGCCTGTCGATTGGGTACACTGGTGACCAAGCTTTGGTGGGCGCTACTGGAGCTGCCAGAACGAGTTGAGACCGTGTAGTTGCGGGAACGGAAGGAAGAGATGTCAGAGAGCACGCGACGAGTCGATTGAAGACATGATCGACGTCGATGATGCAGCAGTTGCACGCGCTGCAGCGACCGCGTGGAGACGTCTCTGTGTCGGACCATTACTGCCGATCGGTCGATCGATCGACTGATGGACGCGAACGTCCCTAATGCAGTGTCGGGATTGGGTAAAAACATCCATCTCGACGGTGGGCCATTCCGATTGGCTCGGGGCTTCGCCCACAGCTTTTGTCAAATTGGCTCACGAAAGCGATCGTCTTTTGCGTCCAAAGCAACACTACCTGTGCTACGAGCCCCTTGGCACGAGCCTTTGCAAATATGTCGGTCGCAGTGAATATTTACAATAGCAAGCGCTGTACGAGCTGCCACCTGCCACAAACCCCGTTGAAACCGATCTCACGACCAACATTGCAAAGAACGCAGCGTCATGCTCTAGAGCGCCCGCCGCTTCTCTCCTCCGCTCATGTATCACGTGGCCGAGATGGTGCGTGACGCCCGCCGCGACATGGCTGCGCGTCACGACGACAGCGTATCGCTTGGCTTTGTATGGAGCACGCTCTCTACGTTTACGCCGTTCCCGTTCCTCTTGTCGCTTTGCAGCCACATCTCGAGTCGTCTCGTGCGTCGCGCGCCAGACCTCGTCAAGCACGCGGCAGGCGCCACGCGCGACTGCGTCGTTGACACTGCAACGCACACACATGACCGCGTCGTGGAGCTCCGCCTGACGTGCACGCGGACAGGCCAGCGGCTGTTTTACAGTGTCAAAGTGCAGGTTGAAACGGCGCGACTGCCAGGCGTGTTGATGCCACTGCAGCGCCAAGTGGCAGTGCCGCTGCTCCGTGGCGTTGAAGGTGTCGCGCAATTTGTGACGAGCGAAGAGCTGCCGGAACTCTACTTTGTAGCCAAGAACTCGATGCGACGCAGCTTCTTTCTGCGGCACGTGGTGCTGCCGCCGTTAGGAGCGGTCGAGCGCGTCGTGCAGTATGTGGTCATTTTTCCGAGCCACGTGGTGTTTCCATCTCGTGCTGAGATCGAAGACAGGACGGACTTGTTCTTGGAAGGAAGCACGACGCGCGTGCAGGCGCTTGTCGAGCATTTGTACTCGGCGACAGAAGTGCTGGACCAGCACTTGAGTATGGTGCAGTGGAACATTCTGGGACGAGGACCGTACGAGTCACTGAGTGCTTCGAGACGTAGTGACGTGATCCGATCCGTGCATCAGAGGATGCGCATCATTGCGTCGCACTACAAACTGTTTGAGTTCTTGGCCACGATCAAGCTACAAAATGAAATGCTGTATGGCGACATGCAGCGCGAGTTTCCTGACGTAGGCGGTGTCCCGCTTACGCTGCAGCAGATAGCAGCGAACGAAGAGTTGACCGCTGAGCTTACTGAGCAAGATGAGAGCACGTTTCCGATCTGGTTTTACAAGAAAATTGACGCCTCTAGCGGACTGAACGGACATAGCAAACGAACGCCAGATGCACATAGTGCGGCAAAGTCGAAACAGCGTGCGCCATTTGGCTCTACTGCCACCGCTGCAAGTGCTGGCAGATCGGGCACTTGGATAGAGTTTCCTGCTCATGAAGGTCGTCGTCTTGAACGGAAGTTTCGGTGGTATCAACAGCAGCAGAATAGAGGAATCTTAGGCCCGACAGAACCGACTTGTATTGTGCTGGTGGATGAAGGTCGCCATGAAGTGGACATGGGAACTATGCGCATGACACCAGTGTACTGGCCCGCCCTGGAAGAGATTGTCGTGTGCCGTTCTCGCTGGGTCTATGCCCAGCGCAATTACGGCTTGGCTCCGTATAGCGCAGAAGCTGCAGCTGTTCTCGAGGACGCTTTCGTGTATTACCTGGGATTGTATCCGCTTGAAAAGCAACGTCTGATGGATATTGAAGCAACAAAGCCGCGCGGCTTTTTCAGCTCCCGCGCGCGTTTTACCGAGGCGGTGTTGTCAGCTCGCGTCGAAAAAGACTGCGTACTGAGTATTCCGATCGAAGGGCACCTTGTTGAGTTCAAAGGAGCGCAAGACATCATGCAGTACAAGCGCTTGCTAGCAGGCACGACGCCGTTCACGAGTAAGCGCCGCGTGTACCGTGGAGATCCTCGCGTGCGTGCTGATCCCGCTACTTTGCAGATCTGGAAAGATGCTATGGAATGCGACCCAGCTACAGGCAACGCGCTGAAGATAACAGAAGACGACAAGGACATCGAAGAGGAGATCGAACATCTCGTGCTTGTTGTACACGGCATCGGTGATGCGCTGACGACGCGGGACCTGATCAACGTTGTGATGTTGCGCTCAATTGTTGACTGCTCGACGACGCTGCGAGAATTAAACCGTGAGGCTCTACACTCCGCGCACTTTGCTCATTTGGGAGGCGAGGATGCCGGCGACAAAGCAAGAGAAGGCAACAAGACGGCCTCGCATCGGCCGCGCGTGGAGTTTTTGCCCATCGAGTGGCACTCAAAACTGCATATGGAAGGCCTCGATCAACTTATCCACGACGTGACTTTGCCGGCCATTCCAAAGCTTCGCGAGCTCGCCAACGACACAATTCTGGATGTGCTGTTCTTCATGTCGCCACTCTTCCACCAGGTCATTCTCGACGAAGTCGCGACGGAAATGAACCGCGTGTACTCACTGTTTCAGTCGCGCCACCCGAGCTGGATGCAATTGGGATCTGCTCTTGACCCCGCACGGAAGCGCAAGAAAGTATCGCTTATTGCACATTCGCTGGGCTCCATCATCTGCTTTGACATTCTGAATCATCAGCAAGTCTACATGCAACAACCGCAAAGCACGCCATGCGCGGGAGCTGACGAGAGTAGCGACGAGGACTTTATTATTGCGAACAGCGCAGAGGGAAAGGGTGGCAGCAGCACGTGCACGGACGACGAAGGCGACCGAGAGGCGTTACAAGACAACATCTTTGGCTTTGATACCGCTCTTGCAAATCGGACACTGAGGCGGCGTTCGCGATCAATGTCAGCGATATCGAGTGCGCATTGGAACTGGGGAAGTAGGCAGCTCCGAGGTGATGCCGGTCAGGAACAAGAAACTGCCGATCGACGTGCGACATCGGACGTCCGCATTACGGGTCGGAGAAAGAATGTGGTCACGCCTTGTAAGAAGAAGAAGACGCCGTCGTCAGTGAAGCCCACGACAGCGGAGAAATACCACGTTCGCAAGCGTGCTGCTACTCCACCTGAACGCAGCGACGTTGTGCCGCTTGTGCCAAAGCTCGCGTTCGACGTCGAAGACCTCTTTTGCTTTGGATCTCCGGTGGGTCTGTTTCTGAACGTGCGGGGCCAAAAGCTCGACCGCGACTTCCAGCTACCTCGCTGCCGCCGGCTATTTAATATTTATCATCCGTACGACCCGGTAGCGTACCGGATTGAGCCCATCATGAACCCCGCGCGCGCTCACTCGAAAGCAGCGATCATCCGTACGTTCGAAGGCAAGCTGCGATTCCAGTACCAACTGCGCAATTCGTTCCGTGCCATGTGGGCTTCGCTTCGTCAGTGGCGTCGCGACTTCGAGCGTCAGGTGCTTGTTGGCGCACACAGTATCGGGCTAGTGGAAACTCCTGCTTTGACGACGCCACTGAGTGATGCGCTGGCGGTTGTGTCACAGCCGTACGAGCGATTTCAACAGCGTCCGGACGAGGAGACGCGGGACGAGCAGCGGCGGGAGGAGCGGGAAGGTGATGAAAGTACAGAAAACGTGGCGGTGTTCGGTCGACTGTGCCAGGGCCTCCCGGTGGACTACTCGCTCCAGGAGAACGAGATTGAGATTGCCAATGAGTATCTGTTCGCTCTCATGGCGCACGTCATTTACTGGGACAACCGCGACGCGAGTCTCTTTGTGGCGCAGAAGCTCCTGCTGGAACCGGCCGCTGACCCCTGGCCTGCCCGCGAGCAGCCAAGGACGACGAAGGCTGCAGATGACGAGGCAGTAGCTGGATGTGAATAGAGTGGCGGCGTCGAAGGAACGCGTGCGCGTACGGACACTGCCGAGCTGCGCGAGATTCGGGACGCAACAGCGCCGTCCGAAGTGTCGTTAGACTCCTCGGACAGTCAGGTGCTGGACACTTCGGTTTCGTTGCGTTGAACGCGTCGCAGCGCCGGAGCTTGTAAGCGAGCAGACGAGAAAGTATTGAGATAAGATAGTAGACGCCCTGCGTCGCGCTGTCATCGTGTGCGTCGTGGCCAGCAACGGGCCAGCGTCGTAAACATTGCGCTGCGGTAGTAATATTGCCGACGGCGGTCGCTCCGGACTCTTTGCTGACGCCGTTGCCGATCAACAGCGCATCGCGGCAAATCCAGTCCGCCTTCTTTTACCCCGACACTGGACGCTTTTCGACTGACGCAGTGGCCGCCTCCGACAAGTGGCTGGCGCCTACACATGAGAGGAGGAGACTGCGGAGGATCATGTCCTTCAGCTCTCCCCGCGTGTGTGCGTAAAAGCGCGAGGCGTTCGTTTTTCGGGCAGCTGTAGCCGACCCAGTTTTTTCCGGGTCCGTTCAACAACCACGTGCGACTTGTCGGCCGCGTCGTCCGTTGTCTGGACCCGAGTAAGTACAGGGCAAAACGCCGTGCGCGAATCTTTCGAGGGGGTCGGCCCCCATCGAGTTTGAAACGCCTCGACCTGCCTCCGGTTGCGTCAACAAGACAGACAGAAGGCAAAGCGCGACGACGCCGTGCATAGCCGCCATGCGCTCGGACCCGCTTGTTGACTGCCGAGGCCGAGGCGTAAACTCGCGGCGGCACCGGCAACGGATTTGCTCGATGACGGCCTCGTACAGGCGACACAACGGCGGCCTCGTCGCTGCCCGCGCCATGTGGCGCAAGGCCTGATTAACTTGATTGTTCCAGGGCGATGGCGAGCCCCGCCACGGAGCAATCGGCACGCCAGGCAGATTGGCGACTTTAATCCGATCGATCGGTCGTTCTCTCGCCCTTCAAGCCGGCTTCCCTCATTCAATGCCACACGGGATGCACATTGAAGCAGGTGAGGAAAAGTCAGACCAGTGCATGCCAAGAGCTCTTTTGCGCGTGCAAAGCACACGTGGGCGATACACTGGGGAGCGTGGCAGTGCAAGAAGGGGCTGCGGCCAAACTTGCCAAGCTACTGCTGCTCGGCTGGGCCTGTCTGCTGGGTTGATGATTGACCCACGAGAGCGTGGCTGTCATTACTCACGTAGCTCGTCTGGTCGTGTCTCGTCAAGAGAGTCACGTGGCAACGAACGGACTCACGGCGTGTGAATGCCTCGCGAAAGCGCATGTAACTTTATCGGAGCTCTAGCAGTCGCCATAGCGGGAAGCGATCCTGTCGCAGCCGTCGCCAAAATAATGCGCGTGAACTGTGCGGGTTCTTCTTCCCGGTACGCTCCCTCTTTCACCTGCCCGACTTGACTACCACCGCATGGATGTAGACGAAGAGCGCGACATCGTTGTCTTCCAGTAGAGGTGAGCCTCTTCTCCCACGATTCGCGTGCAGTGTAGGCGTGGGGCGAAGCCATTTCTGGTCCGAGCGGGCGTCTCACCGAAATGGGCGTAGCTCGATCGATTCCAACGGCTTCGGCGACACGCGCAGCCGCTTAGCGATCACGCGCGAGTCGGCGAACGAGTGCACCGCGTCGTCCACGTTGCGGCCTCATGGCTCTGTGCTGGTGTGTGTATGTCCGGCGTGCAACAGCGTGATGATCGCCACGCGGCTGCAGCGGCTTTTTCGTGTCGAACGTGGCGATGGGCCGGCCGCGGTCGGCTTCAACGTAGAGATCCAGTACGAGCGACCCATCGGTGCACGCGATCTCCGATGTGCTCGTGACACCGAGACGCGTGAGCGCACGGCCAACGTAGCGCCCAGCTGCAGTGTGGACCCGCTGCGCTGTAATCTTCGCTGGCGGCAGCAGTGTCCTCCGTCGGGCGACTCGTTTTCGCAACGTCGACGCTGGTGCGCACCGGCCGCTTGACACTGCAATGCGGCGGCGGTCGCCGTCGAAGTGCCAATCTCGACCGGTGCTCGGCCTGTCCGATGATCCGCCGCAGGTCTGCTGCTGCTGCTGCTGCTGCTGCGATCAAAGCCGATGATGGGCGGACAGAGTGCGAGAGTGTGTGTGTGTGACGCGGCGACACACGCGCTCGGCCCTTTTCTCTCGCTCGCCGTCACGTCCGTCCGTCCGTCTGCTGGCTATCAATCCGTCCGTCCGTCCGTCCGACTGTCCGTCTATCTGTCTGTCTGTCTGTCTGTCTGTCCGTCTGTCCGTCGCTGCTCTCGGACGAGAGTGTCCTTTGGCAGCCGATCAGTGAGGAGCAGCTGCCGCCGGCCTCGTGCTACTCATTCTCCCTCTTTCTCCATCCGAAGCTCGTCACGCCTCGCGCGCGGCGGACACACGACACACACGACGCTCTGTCGCGTCGGCGGTCGCACGAGTGCGTCGAGCGTCACAGGCGTCATGGACGCGCCTCGAAATGCGCTGCCTCGTAGTCAAAGTGCATGCGGTCGCGTCGGCCGGAGGAGCGGTGACCGGCATTGGCGCGGCGGAGACTCGAGCGACGACTACCACGTGAGCGGCGCGTTCGTGCCGTTTGGCCCACCGGCAGCGCACCCGGCGAGTGACAGCGTGCACCAGACGGGCGCCGGCTACAGCTCGAACAACGCTGGCGACGGACCGGAGAAGACGCGCGACCGCAAGAGCTGGTTCCCGCGCTTCAAGTCCAATTGGCTCGGCACGTTCCGGTCGCGGCAGATGTTCTACTGCTGCGAGTGCGCCGTGCTGCCGGCGCCGAGCAAGAGTCCGCTGTCGAGTCAGGCTGGGCGATACAAGGGCGCAGAGGGCAAGCACTGCCGCTGCGGCAAGGACCAGTGGCACCTCGCCAAGTCGGTCGAAGAGACGGAGTACAACCGCCGCATGGAGATCAGCAAAGCTTTTGGCGGCATGCGCTACGACGAGGCCGTGCTGCGCCTGCGGAGCATGGGCCAGTCCGAGCTGGACTTCAAGTCGTCCAGGCACGTGCTCCACGGGCGGTCGCCTACCCAGGCGCGCAGCACCCACGACTTTGCATCGACGTCGTCCTTGCCGTCGGCTCTGTCGTCTGCGTCCTGTCCAAACGTGCCCAAGCGCGCGCGGAGCGTGTCGAGCGGTCCGTTTCCGACGCAGTACGTTAAACACGAGCCGTCGTCGCTACCGAACCCGCCGGTGCACGTCTACGGCTACGACAATCCGGCCAAGCACTACAGTGTCTACAATCCCGTGTATGGCAACAACGCCAGCGACGCCGAGTACGCACAAGCAGCGCAGTCGCGGCACCCCGACGCCTACGAGCACCTGACGCCGGCCGCGCCGTACGGAGACGAAGAGGGCTTTGGTGAGCTGCTGGAGGGTATCCTCGAGGACGACCAACGAGGGGCAACAACCGGTGCACAGCACTTGAGTCTGAGTCCGACCCGAGGAGGAGGACAGGTGTACGCAGGCACTCGCTCCAGCTACTACACGGGGCCTCTGACGACGGCGAGTAGTATCGCGCCGCTCAAGCGCACAATGAGCATGCCGTCGTACGCCACGAGTCCGTCCACGGGGGTGTCTCCACACCGCGACGGTGCAGAGCACGAGTACTCTGCTGAAGCGACTCGCCGGTCCAGCTTGAGTCTCGGTGCGAACCAAGCGCCGCCGTCGTACATGACGTACCATCCGGGACTGCACCAGCAGTCCCCGCAGCCCTCGTCGCAGCCGTTTTCGTACCATCACGATCTACATCAGCATCAACAACCACCACCACAACAACCACAGCAGCAGCCGCACCTCCACCAGCAGCAGCAGCAACAGCACCACGTTCCAGAGCTCCAGCAGCAGCATTACCACGCGTTTGGTCGGCCGCTGTCCATGACGCCCAATGCGGTGTCCGCCACTTCGACGGCATTTTCAGCATGAGTCCGGGGAATGGGTGGCAGGCGAGCGAGAGCGGCTCAGCGTATAGTAAGTAGTCAACTAGGTAAATAGCCGAGCAGAGGCGGGAGCTCAGATGGAGACTCTGTGTAAATACGACCGTGCCCGTGTGTGTGTGTGTGTGCATTCGTTGTTTGACAGTCATCTGTCTATCTTCCAGCCGTCCAGCGGACGTTCGTTTGCCGCCACTACTTTGTCGTTTTCGACGGTACGGCCACGAATTCCCTGCTCTGCGTGTGTTTGTCGTCGGGCTCCTGCAAAAAAGCCTCTAGCAACGGGTTGAACGCCTCGGCCTTGGACAGCACGAGGTCGTGGCCACCTTCCGGGACGACCTCTAGTCGCGAGTGCATGATGCGCTCGCTCAAGTACTCGCTGTGGAACAGTGGCACAAACTCGTCCTGCCCGCCGCCGACGACAAGCGTCTTGCACTTGATATGGGGCAACCTGCCGCAGTACAGATCTCCGCCCTCGTCACGCTCCACCTGACGCAGCGCCTCCACCATCTCTGCAGTACACATAGAAAGAGACAGAGACCACGACAGAGCCGCACCAGATGGACGTCACGTTGATACAAAACAAGGCACAACCAGAAGAAGAAGCAGAAGAAGCAGAAGAAGTGACAATCGACCGCATCAAACGCACGGGTCCATTTGTCCTGCAGGGCCTCCGATCCACACTTTGCTTCCGCCGTCTTCCGCCTGTCGCTGTCCCACAGCTGAACGTCACTGTGCTCCTCCAAGTCCTCCACGTCCTCGTCACTGACAAACGCCTGCAACACACACACACACATGTCACCTCTAACCAATCAACAGCGCAGTCCATTTATTGTGAGCCAATGCAGCTCTCGACGTACATTGCCATTGACCAGCACGAGTCGTGTCACTCTCTCGGGGTATTTGGCCGCCACGACGGCGCTCACGTTCGCGCCGTAGCTCGTGCCCAGCAGCGAAAACCTCTCGAGCGCCAGCGCATCCGCTGCGCGCACGACGTCGTCGGCGTCGCGTTCGATGCCTCGACGGCCAAAGCCGCTGCTGGCACTGAAGAGGCGCAGGTCCACCCCGTAGAGCGCCCACGAGCGCGTGAGCTGTTCATTGGCCAATTGTCGACGGAAGTCGCACGCGACAGAGCCAAAGAGGGACGGGAGGCACACGAGCGGCTGCTGCTCTGGTGTCACTAAAGCGGGGGCGAGGGCAGCGAGGAACGAGCCGTCGGTGCCGATGGGCACTGGCACACGTCGGAACGAGTCGGGCGCCGTCGAGACGTGACGTCGCAGCAGACGGAGCGCGAGCATCGACGAGGAAGTGCGTGACGACGGCCCGTGTGGCCTTTTGTGGACGTGATTTGACCGACCGATCCCTGGCGAGATAGGAGGCGTAAGCGGCTTTTGCGGGTTGGCGATACAGGATACGTAGTCTGACGGTGCTGGCAAGGGCAGTCGCGACGGGTCGATCTACGCGCCGTAACGAGAGGGAGGTGCACGTACATTAGTGACTTCAATGCGCAAAAGTGCCAAAACTTGCAGCTGGATCGAGAGCGACCGAAATGGCACACAGCACCGTTTTGACCGTCAGTATAGAGCAGGCCGATACGATGCAGGCGGAGTAGCCGCTGCAGTGCACGAATCTCGTCTACCATACATGTATCATCATCATGGACCTGTTGGTATAGTAATGCAGTATATATGTCATGTTTGCTCGTGACAAGGAAATGACAGAGCTGCTCCCAAACTCGTCGCTGATACCGCAAAGCTGCTCTCTAACTCGATATATCAATAGATTGTTGCCAATAATCCGATAAGACATTTAGTCCGCATCGATGTAAGTGAGCACGGACGATCTGTACGAAATGTGCTGCAGAAATATTAATTTTGAACTTGTTTTTCTTCCCTCTGCTAAGTTATCCCCGGCTACGGAATAACCTCCGGTAAGTTATAGGATTCGGTCTCCACCGACCTCGTTCTATGGTGACTACGGAATGAGTTATACGGAATAGCCTGAGGGCCAAATACAACTTATCAGAGGGAATATTTTTGTCCGCCGTGAGCAGAAATATTGTACGCAGAACCTTTTTTTTGTTATTCACTGCAAGAAAGGAGTGGAAAGAGGAGAGGAAACTACTTCAGCCAGGAATCAAGTGTGGCCTGAGTGGTGCTCGCACTACGGAGATCAGCTTGGACTTGGCGAAGGGTGCGGTGAGCTATACGATGGGACTCCTGAGAAAGGTCGAGAAGGGCGATGGATAGACTAAGGCTGGCAAGCTTTTCAGCCTTCGAATGCTTTTCCACCTCCTCCTCCGCCTCAGCAGCACCTTCCTCCTCCCCATACGGATCCTCAACAAGCTTGATGATTTCGGCATCGGTCAGCTCCGCATGCGCCGTCTCCTCCTCCTCAGCCGGATTGAAAAGAGAAGCGATTGACATGGGATTGCGGAGCGGGAGCCTTTCCAGCGCCGAAACAAGATCCTGTACCACGCACTGCTCCTATACTGCAGCAGCTGTTGCCTCCTGCTGGGCCTGCTGGCCAACAGTGCCGGCTTCGTTTTCACCCCCACCAGTCGGCAGAGCCGGACCGTCCATGAGTCCCGTATGACGGAAGCAGTTGGCGATTGTGGCACTGGAAATCTCGCTCCACGCAGCCAGCGACCAACGCATGGCCGTGAGCTGATCAACCTTGTAAAGGTTGGTTTCTCCGCGCTCGTCACGGTCCAAGGCATTCTGCAGATGCAGCCGGCGGTAGTGCCTCTTGAATGCGGCAATGATCTCAGCATCCATGGGTTGGACCTTTGAAGTCGTATTAGGAGGAAGAGCCTGGACCGTGATGTTGGTGAGTTCCAGGTCAGCAACATTGTGTGAAGGAGCGTTGTCCATGAGAAGCAGGATTTTTCTATCCTTTTGCTGTGGTCAACGCGTTAGTCAAACCTCATTTACTGTACCACAACGATGATGTTCAAGGCATGCCCCAAATTACCTTCATACTTTTGTCGACGTCTCCCAGCCATTCCTGGAAGAGTATGCCAGTCATCCAGGATTTCTTGTTGTTGCGGTAGAGAAAGCCCAGTCGCTCAGCTGTCTTGCGCTCAAAACACCGCGGCTTTTTGGCGTGTCCAATGAAGAACGGCGGGAGTTTGTCGGATCCATCAGCGTTTGCCGTGAGAGCAACTGTGATGCGCGTCTAGAATAGTTGTTAGTGTCAGAGAAACGCAGGAAACCAAGATGAGAGCAATAATGTACCTTGTCTTTTTTAAACCCTTCGACCTCTTGCTGGGCAATCGTTCTGTCGGGCGTCATACTGTAGAACAACCCTGAACAGAAAGTGAGCCTTTGAGATGCTTCTGTACTGTACAATGAGTACAGTACTGTACTGTATTCTCAGACCTACCAGTTTCGTCCATGTTGTACACGTCACGTGGAGTATAACCAGCAACCACGGCCTTGAGGTGTGGAAGACCCTCCTCTAGAGCGCCCATATCTGCTGAGCCACTCTCGCCATGAATGCGGACAGCTCGCAGTTTGTGGCGCTGCTGGAATTTGTGGAGCCACCCATTCGAAAAGCGGATGTTTTCCTCCGAGACGCCCATTGATCCCGCAAAAGTCTGAGCCTTGGCCCGTATGAGATCTCCAGTGAGAGCGACCCCACGGTGCTGGCACTGCAAGACCCAGAAGGCGACGGCCTCCTCCACAGCTGGGTGCTGGACAGTCCGAGGACGCTTAGCGCTGAGGTTAGTGGTGTCCATTGCCTCAAGCTCCTTCCTTTTTTTGATGATTTTGCGGATCGCCGCCTGGGAAAGTGCCTTCTGGAGGTCAAAGGCGTCCTTTGTCCAAGCCGCCAGGGCAGTCTGGGTGATGCGCGGGTTAGCATCCTGGTGCTTGCAGATGCGCAGCTTCTGCTCGTTGGTAAGACGTATCTGCGACATCTGTTGTGAGTGAGCAAGGTACAGTTGGTGGAACTTCTTAACCAGAGATGGCAAAATCACCAGAGACTGGTGGGGCAACCAAAATCACAAAATCGTCAAAGGGCACGTGACACGTGACAGACAGGTTTTGGAAGCCTGGAGGTTTGTTGCGTTTTTGATTCTTTAATTAATTAAAATAATAATTTTTCCGCAGCATATCTCTACTATGGAATAACCTCTGCTATGTTATAAGATTTGCCTTCCACCAAGTCTATAACTTAGCAGAGGGAAGACTGTAGATCATTATAAACATATGTCATCCGCAAAATCGTAACATAAAACGGCACGACAAAATAATTAAGATGATGAGAATTAAAAGCGAATAAACATATTATAATATATCTATTTAGATAATTGACAAATTAATAGTTCACACGATAACAACAAATAGAAGATGAATAACACAACAAGATTGAACCATTGATATGTAATAAATTATTGTGCAGCATAAAACCGAACGTCATGGTAAAAGACGACGACCAGCAACAGCATCCTAGCAGCTTTTTCTAAGACACCATTTGATGCGTACAGCAGTATCATTATAGCAATGTTCAATGTCAGCGGTAAACACAATCCTCCGTCTCGCGTTACAAGTCAAAAGCGGTATCGCGGCGCATCGTGCACGCAACATTTACAACAATACAATTTAGCTGTTGCTAATAACCCCTTGTAGTTATCAAAAGTTTTCGGCCCGACGTTGGGCAAGAGATGTAGATCACGTGACTACCCAGTCCCTCCTACCTAATAATCTCTACTACCTCATTATCATCTCATCCGCCCAAATGTACTATCTAAGAGGTTCTGCTGCATAACGAAGTTTCCAGAAAGCACAATTAACTAAAATGAAACGCTCAGTCAAAGCAAAAGGAGAGACCTGCACTCGGTATAGCGAGGTCATGTATTCAGGTATCCTCTAAACCCTTACTGAATCAAAATTACAATACAAACCGATGTGCTGACACCTTCCTCCCCACTCATTGCGCGCATCGAGGCTGGTTGGTGGTTTTGTCGGCTGACACAATAGCCGATATGAGCCAATGAGTCATGTGTCACCAACTACGCTGAAAATCATCCACAAAGATACTATTCACGGTGACAATGTGATACATTTTAATGTCCTATATCAACACGTATCAACATTACACGTCACTCGTTACATCATCCTCCCGAGCGACCGTCACATCAATGACTATGATCATAAGTAATCTCGAAAGGACACTTGAAAATGGGGAAACACTTGTTGGCCTGACCCAGTCATGTCGACATCATCGCATGGTCAAAGAAAAATCCATGCGATGAGCTGGTACACAAATCCTCGCCTGCTCACACGATAGCTTCAGGCTCCGCTGAACCTCCCTCTTCAGCCGTTGACGATTCTTTATCGGCTGCTGACACGTCTAGGCCTGTAGCACCAAACTTTGCAGAATCTCGTAGCTACGACGCGTAAAGAGGATGACCCTGAGATATAACTTTCCTGCATAAGCGAGTCGAATGACGCATACGACTCAAAGCCACCCGCGACGTCTTACCCCTGATCGGGCGGCGACGACATTATCGCATCAGTCGACTTACAATGTAGAAATTAGTGCGCATGAGCGCCGAGACATCTTCTGAGATCGTTTAATGCATCAGAACTCTCACCTCCGAACAAGCTAGTTTGCGCGACAAGGGTTCTCAATGATGCTAGAACTTGCGTCAGCACGATTGATATTGCATGGATGTTGTGAGAAGCTGTATGGTCATGATTCTTCGGAGCGACCCGTGTCTGATTCGTGTAGACAACTCAGATCGACCCTTGCGGATGCCTTCCTCCCTTGTGAGCTCTGGGCAAGAGACCGCATCTCATCCGAGATGTATGAAGGCATTACTGTCTTGCAATCCCTATACGAGCGAGTCAGGCGATCTTTCTTCACAAACTTTCCGGTCCACTAGATCGGTCTATACGTACAGTTTCACGACAACTTAAACGTCAGTCATCAGTTACAAGCGAGGATATTCGTCGAGGACTGCTATCCGTCATCGGGTAGAAAGAGCTTCACGAGAAAGAGAAGACCAGCGCAAATTTGCATCTGCGGCTGCGATGGTAACATGCTGGATATTTTAATAGATCGATCGGACCGCAGAGAGGTTGGACTACCTCAGTCGAGTGGATGCCTAGATACATGAGAACCTAGAGAATGAGCAGTATTTGGCGTCTCTTCATAGAAGACACTCTGCGTCGCCGTAGCGGCGGTTGAACAAATGGAAGCCGTAGATTGCGTTCTCGCGCTCAAAAAACGAGCTGGTGACAGCTTATTTTTTATTACGAGATCTCTTATACCGTGACAAGATATCGACAAA